TTTCAACATTAAAAGCAATTAAGGGGGGAGGATGTAGCTCACGTGGTAGAGTGCATGCTTAGCATGCTTGAGGTCCTGGGTTCAATAGCCAGTACCTCCTCTAAAAATAAATAAACCTAATTACCTCCCCACAACAAGATAAAATAAAATAAAATGATACAATAGTAAATAAATTAAATGTTTTTTAAAAAAGATTTTAAAAGCTATTAAAAAGTTAACATACAAAGAGCAATTAGAATAGTTCCTATTATACAGTAAGCACTAAAACTGTGCTACCATTATAAAGCCACATTTGCAAGCACATTGTGAGTCAAGCATCATTAGGCCAAACCACTTAAAATCATACTATCCATTGCCACTTCCTTGGTTCTACTACTTAACTTTAGGCAAGTTTCATAAACAACTCTGAACTTGAGTTTTATACTTTTTGGTAAGGATTAAAGAAGATACTATACTTGAAATAGCTTAGTGTAGAACCTGACACATAGTAGACATTCAGCAAACTTAAGTCATATTGCCTCTTCCTTCCTCTTTTCCTAAATCATTTCCTAAATCATGGGTAAGGTGGCTTACCCATCTCAATCAACTGACCAGTTCCAAAGCTTACTTCCCTTAGAACCAAAGTCACTCTTTATGAGGCCCAACTTCTCTGTTCTTCCCATGGCTGCGTTAACCATTCTTCACATTCTGAGAGCTATATACTTCTATACTTTATCTAAAATAATTTGATTTGGGCTTATAACATTTACAACCACTAATACATTCCTCATAGCTAAAGTGGCAGTAAGTTAATCTGCTAAAGTAAATTACTTAAAATAGGAAGTAGTGTTGAATTAAATAATTGAAATTGAATTTCATGGCCAGAAGTTCTTCTAGAAATAATTTAGCCCAAATTTCCCTCCCTACTTCTCTTTTCAAGATTAAGAAGCTCCCAGAGAAGTTCACCCAAGCTTGCCAAAGTCATGCAGGTAACTAGTGCTTGGAACCAAGACTAGAACCTCGGCTCCTGAGGCTGTGATACCACTACCCTGTGCTGTAGGGAAGTGAGAGTATAAACCAAAACCAGACACCTCTCTCTGCATTCTATCTGCAGGGCAGTAGTTGCTGTTTAACTTTCATACAACACTGGATGCTCATTTTGACCTTGTAGTCAAGGAGATTTTCCAATTTTTTTTTCACTTGAAATATAAATAAATCCAAGCTCACAATTCTGTTTTTAAGCAGCAGGGTTTTTTAAAGCACATATACTCGATTTTACATTAACCTATATTAAATTACTTTTTGTATCAGCCTTTCTAGGTCTTCTGGCATCTTCTGTCATTTAGCTTATTTTCTATTCAACACCCCCCATTTTATATTACCTGCAAACCTGATGATGAGCTTCCAATATGCTCATTTATGTGTTAAGTGATTCATGAAAATGTTGAACAGGATAGGGCTATAAAGGCGTTTGACCAACTGATGAAAACTTCTATTTCACCTTTGTATAAATCATTTCAACAAACTGTACTATCATCCAGGCCTCCTTGTCCATTAACATTTGTCAAACGCCTTTAAAAAAATAAGGAAGTATATAAGGTTCACACTACTTTCTTGAACTACCACAGCAGTAAGAGCAGAGATGAATAAAAATGGCCACTACTTGTTGAGTGACCAGGCCAAGGCTTTTTCATATATTATTTTAAATTTAGTCCTCTCAAGAACTCTCTAAGGTAGGAATTATAAATTTTTGTTATGGCAGAAGACTTCAGGTTCCCTAGGGCATACATGCGTGTGGTCTAGGTAACCACGTATTTTTTAAAATATTGTTGTTTTACTGACTGGTGAGAAAGCAGAAATATACCTGGAGAGGCTGTGGAGAAAGTGGTGGGGTGTTGTTATTGTTGTCTTGAGGGAGTTAAAAGTGAAGGAGATGGCGTAGATTCCCTAGGGGAGGAATTTTAGATAAAGCATCAAGTAAGATAAGGGGATTTTTATGAAGTTTCTGTTGTGTCATGTATAAGATAATCCCCATTATTTATCAATGCCTTCAAAGTTTGAATTGTTATTGTTGTTTTATGATAAGACCAGTGTGTGAAATTGGTCTCCAGGAAGGCCCTGGAATTACCTTTGGGTTACATGACAGACTGGAGAAGTTAAGTGTCCAAGTCTCACTTTTAGTAAGTGGTGGAGCTGGGAATGGATTTCAGCCTCATTCCACACCAAGGCCCACTCTCTTCCCTCCTATGACCCTGCAGGGGTCAGACCAGGGAAAGTAGCAACCCTGTCAGAAAGATCCACCTATTCCTTATTGAATTCAAGCTGAACCTTGTTTTCACCACTTTTCTAAAGACTCACAAATCCTTTGTTTAATTATCTATTCCAGAATTTTGCCAAGGGAAAAGGTGCTCACAGGCTTATAGTTTCTTCTTTTGGAAAATGGGGGACATTTGTCTATGTCCAGTCTCTGGCATTTCTCCTGTTCCCAGCAAAGTTACCACCACATTTCAAATTATTTTAGTAAACTGAAGAGATAAAGTTGTGTTAAGGGGCCAGGTGCGTTCTCACATCCTCACCTGTCTTGGACTTATATTCTCTATTTCCCATGTAGGTCTACCCTTTCTAATTTGGGGACAATTCTCAGTGATAGAAAATAGAAGTAAAGCAGGAGCTGATGATTTCCGCTTTTTTTCCCTCTGTCTTCTGTTATCATTACACCTTCTGTTCCTTGTTCTTCTTGCTCAGAACATCAATTTTCATGACATTGCCCTTTTATGTATTCTATTAAATACTATAATTATAAGTTAGTATTTTGGGATTAATTTATTAAAATATATCATAGGAAGTTTAGTATAAAACCTTGCTTTTAAAAATAGTTTACTTGTTCCAAAGCATTTTTATAGCTGTTCTCTCACGAAACAAACAATGACTACGAAGTATCCTATTTACAATATTTCCTCTAAAATGTAGAGTTTCAGACAGCAATTCAACAATTTCATTGTTAAAATGGAGGCCTGTGGATGCCTTTTCCCCCAGCTTTAGAGATATAATTGACACATAATGTTGTGTAAGTTTAAGGTGTACAAATGTGATGATTTGATACACTTACAGACTGCATGGTGATTACCACCATAACATTACCTACTACCTCCATCCTATCATGTATTTACCATTTGTTTTTGTGGTGAGAACATTTAAGATACATTCTCTTAGCAACTTTCAAGTATATAATATGGTATTATTAGCTATAATCACCATGCTGGCCATTAGACTCCCAGAACTTGTTAATCTTACAATTGAAAATGTGTACCCTTTGACCAATATCTCCTCATTTCCCACATCCCGCAGCCCCTATCACTCTACTTTCTGTTTCTCTGAGTTTGGCCTTTTTAGATTGAACTGGAGGCCCTTTTAAGTGGTAGGAATAGAAATTGAGTTCCATCTCTCAGAAAGTACAACATGATAATGCAGGAAAAAGAAGAGACACTATATTAATAACAGGAGTTTTCTTTAGACCATTTTCTCCCCTTCCAAGTTATTCATTCTCTCTGGGGAGGTAAACTACCTTTGTAGCCTAATACTTGATTTGAATTTCCACAGGTTTTCTATTTAAAAAAACGTATTTACATCATTTTGTATTTCCCCAAATAGCTAGCAAGAAACCCTCTTTAAAGCAAATGGTTAGGTTCTACGTTCAATTGCTTCATTTATGTCATTTTCAAACTCAAAAGTGGTGACTCAGAGCTGACTCTCTGGGTGGGCATACTAGAATTCAGCCACTGAAAAGTTTATGCTTGGCATTTTTGGCATTTTGTGTCTTCTCTGCCTTGCCTAAATTCTCTTAATGTGGCAGGATTTTCAGTTCACTTCAGTGAACTGTTCTAGAGCAGCTGCCCATGTAGTGCCTATCCTTTGCATTGGATTACAACTATGAGGCAGTCTCTGCCTTTAAGGCACTCACAGCCTAGTTGGGATGACAGCCACGCCAGAAAATAATACAACAGTGTGTGATGTGTGAAACAAGTGAAGTATGTGCTAAGGAGTGAAATAGTGCAAAGGAGGATATTCTCATTGTGAGGTGCAGGAAAGTGTCACAGAACACCAGTGTAGTCACCACATATGAAAGAATGAATAGGTATGCAGCAGGGACATTCCAGACAACAGACATGCCATATAAAGAACATGATGTGTACAGAAACAAAGATGTGACCAATATTCTAGTGCAATGTGTAGGTGGAATGTGGGGTCCAGATTGTGATTTATGCCATGCAAAGGAATTTGAACTTTGTCCTGGATGAGAGGTTTTTGGGGGGGCGGGGGGCAGGGAGGGAGGTAATTAGGTTTGTTTGTTTGTTTGTTTGTTTG